TGGGCCAACTAAAACTCCAAGAAAAAAACTCTTTTGTGTGGCATTTGCCAATGTCCAGGGTGTGAAGACTCCCCCTGTGGCCCATTTCAGGCTGTCCGTGGTGATGTCGCCAAGGGAGGAGTTGGGAAGAGATGGAGCATTTGGCTCTCGCGTTTCCAGCAGGAAGTGGCCACAGCGCACCATGGATTGGAACAATTTCCTCAGCCTCCTCACCTCATCTGTAACCTTCTTCAATATGGGGCCCATCCTGCGGCCCAGGAGTTCTTCTGCAGCATGGGGTGGTGACAGTGCTCTCCTGGTTACAAACCGTCAGTGTCTCCCATTACCTGTAAGATAAAATTCAAAATCCTTAGCCCAGCACGCAAGGCCTCTTTCATTCAGCCTCACTCTGTTCCTTCCAGCCAGATACGTGACTCATACAATATACAGCATATCTGGGCTCTGACGATCCCTGTGTGTTGTTCTCCCTTCATGAGACTGTATGTTTCTTACAGGTGCAGAGTCTGTGTCACTCATCTTTGCACCTCTAGTTCCTGGCACATCACATATGCTCCACAAACGTTGAGGAACAAGGGGACAGATTAATACTGGGCCTCTTGCCCTTCCCCAGGTAGGCTCTGCTCTCTGTTCCTCCATGCTCCTTGCTCTCGCCATACCTCTGCCCAGCGTGCCCCTCCTCGTCCTTTCCCCACCTGCCTAACTCCGGACCCATTTCTCCTAGATCCATCGTCAGCCGTGCATGGGGATGTCCTCTCCACGGTGTCGATCCATCCATTCAACGGCAGACACCAGTCGAGCTCCTACTACATGCCAGCGACTGTTCCATGTGCTGAGGATACAGCCACAGACAGTACAGACAACCTGCCTGTCCTCCTGGAGCTGATGTACGAGGAGACCAATGACCAAATGCATATCCCTGTCATGCCATGTAGCAAAAGCGACGGGAGAAAGTTAACAGGGAGCGAGTCACAGGGGTTCCGGTCTGATAAGAATGGCTGGGCAGGCATCTGAGGGGGAGCCCTGTGAGTCTGGCCCCTCGGGTCTCCTCCAGGTCCTGTCTCGGGGATTCCTCCCATCCACCTTACATAGTCAACATGCCTCCCCCTCAGCCTTCTTTCCCGAGACCTAAGGAACATGCAACAACCCCTCCTTGACCTCAGCTCTCTTTTCAGGAGACATTCACGAGCTCTTCTCTCTTCCCTCCTGCCTCTGTCACTGCTATCTCCCTGCTCCAATATCCATTCCCAACCTCCTCTAAGTCCAGTGTCAACCACAGTCCAGTGGCCCTGAAGTGCCAAAGCCGGTGGCCACTTCTCTGTCCTTACCCCGCAGGGTCTCTGTGGAATCTGACCCTCTGACCATTGCCGCCTCCTGAAACTCCCCCATCACCCTGGTTGACCTGTCTGCCCCTGCCTGGGTTCTCCTTCCACAGCCTTTTTCTTAGTCTTTGTTTTCCCAGGGTCTTTCCTTGGCTCTCTACAACGCTCCCCAGATATCAGCCTCCATCTACCCACTGGTGAGACCCCAGTCCGCACCTGTAGCCCACTCCTGGACATGCCCAGCCACGGGTGGCCACAGGCCCCAACATCAGTGTGCGTGGACCTCACTGCCTCTTTGCCCAGATCAGCAGCTCTCCAGGGTCTCAGCTCATGAACGCTTCCACTGTCCCACCGCGACCTCCAGCAGGCAGCCTGGGTGCCATCCCAGACTCCTCTGTCCCACACTTGCCTCCAGAATCCTGCAATTCCTGCTGCTTCCCCCCTAAATAACTTCTAAGTTTATCTTCCATTTCTGCCACTGTTCCCATATTTCCCATTTGGGCCCTCACCTCCTTAACAGATCTCTCTGACCCAGGCTACCCTCTGATCCACACAAAACTTCCAGAATAATCCTTTGGAAAAATAAATCTGACCACATCCCTTCCTGCTTAAAACCCTTCTGCTGCTTTCCGTGGCTGACAGCACATGGTCCACACTCCCGGACCCATCCTGAAGCCCCTCCGGGGCCTGGCACCTGCCTGCCTCTCTGTTTACCCCATCCCCACGCTCCGCCTGGCACTTGCTATTCCTGGCACACGCAGCTCCTTGTCATCCTGCACACTCAGCAGGCTGTTCAATGGCACACACAGTTCTTCTGCTCACCCAGGGTCCTCTGCCTGGAATCGCCTGACTTCCTCTCCCAGCCCATCCACCTGGCTCACCTTTGCTGGTTCTACCACGCTCAGGCCAGGCATTCCCTGCTGCGGGAAACCTGCTCTCAGTCACGGCCACCCCCCACGCAGACAGACTCCACAGGCGAGGTGGCTCTCTGTTCTGTGCACACCTCCTTCTCTCTCTCACCATATTGTAATTACCCCTTTGTGCCTGTCCCTCCAGACTGTGAGGGGACGGTGCAGCCATGTCATGTTCGTCTTTGCATCCTCCATGCGTAGCCCAGACTGCCCACTTGATAAATTGTTTGCACTCAACCAGTACAGCGCTAGCACCTGCTTAAAAGGAGAGAAAGAAATGCGCACTCGGCAGGGAAGAGGAGAGCAGCGTGTTTCTGCCTTCCTGCTTAAGAGCTGTGCGCCGTTGGGAAAGTCTTAACCTCTCTGCACCTCTGTCTCATCGCCTGTAAAATGGGTTGATGGTAAATCAGCTGATCAGAGGGTTGCTGGAGGGTTAGCTGAGATGACTCACACTGCCGAGTATTTTGAACAGTCAGCTACTCTTGTTCACAGCACACGGCGGGGCCTGCACACAGACTCACATCCTTCCATCCACTTCTCATGATGCTCTAGTGCAGTAGGGGTTATCCCATTTTTTCCTGTTAAAGAACCACTGGAAGGGGCTGAGTGGCCTCTTCAGGGGAACACAGTCAGTCAGAGATGGAGCCGGGCGTCACCGGCTCTGTGTCTCTTCTCAGGACACCTTGCAGTGGCTCCTCAGCTGACCTAACTTCAAGGAAAAGGGAGGCCCCCCATAGAGTCTGGAAGAGACGGTTTTCAGCAGAGCAGAGAAAACCCTGTCGGGGGGGGACCGGTTGGGGACAGAGAAGTCCTCATCCTTTTTTTTTTTTTTTTTTGTCTTTTTTCGTGTCCGGCAACGGATCGCAACCCTCAGTGTCGTGCCCGTACCGGACCGGGACCGGCAACGGGATCGCAACCCTCGGTGCTACACCTGCACCTCGCTCAGCCAGTGAGCGGGAACCGGTCTGTATGTGGGATCCGAACCCTCGGCGGGNCAGTCCGCACCTGTAGCCCACTCCTGGACATGCCCAGCCACGGGTGGCCACAGGCCCCAACATCAGTGTGCGTGGACCTCACTGCCTCTTTGCCCAGATCAGCAGCTCTCCAGGGTCTCAGCTCATGAACGCTTCCACTGTCCCACCGCGACCTCCAGCAGGCAGCCTGGGTGCCATCCCAGACTCCTCTGTCCCACACTTGCCTCCAGAATCCTGCAATTCCTGCTGCTTCCCCCCTAAATAACTTCTAAGTTTATCTTCCATTTCTGCCACTGTTCCCATATTTCCCATTTGGGCCCTCACCTCCTTACAGATCTCTCTGACCCAGGCTAGCCTCTGATCCACACAAAACTTCCAGAATAATCCTTTGGAAAAACAAATCTGACCACATCCCTTCCTGCTTAAAACCCTTCTGCTACTTTCCGTGGCTGACCGCACATGGTCCACACTCCTGGACCCATCCTGAAGCCCCTCCGGGGCCTGGCACCTGCCTGCCTCTCTGTTTACCCCATCCCCACGCTCCGCCTGGCACTCACTATTCCTGGCACACACAGTTCCTCTGCTCACCCAGGGTCCTCTGCCTGGAATCGCCTGACTTCCTCTCCCAGCCCATCCACCTGGCTCACCTTTGCTGGTTCTACCACGCTCAGGCCAGGCATTCCCTGCTGCGGGAAACCTGCTCTCAGTCACGGCCACCCCCCACGCAGACAGACTCCACAGGCGAGGTGGCTCTCTGTTCTGTGCACACCTCCTTCTCTCTCTCACCATATTGTAATTACCCCTTTGTGCCTGTCCCTCCAGACTGTGAGGGGACGGTGCAGCCATGTCATGTTCGTCTTTGCATCCTCCATGCGTAGCCCAGACTGCCCACTTGATAAATTGTTTGCACTCAACCAGTACAGCGCTA